GCGGATGCAGCGTATGCATGGACATCTTGTGTATAGGTGGCAGTTGGGTTGACTTTCTGCTAGCAACACGTTGCAAGTGCTCTGCCTCTTCTGTTTCTTCCCCTATTAAATTGGTGCTTCCAAATGAGGGATAATCCTGTACTAACATACCTATACTGGAATATTAAAAGACAGACACCAGGAAAGCCTTCTGCAGTAGGTGCAATTATTTAGCAAGCATTACTCTGGAGGTAGGAGAAGTGGCTTTGAGTGCTGCACACTGGTCATTCCCCAGTGCTCCTCTCTGAGGCTGAGCGAAGAGGTTTCCTTCGTCCTGCTAATGAAGCTTCGCTTTGTGGACTCTGAGGCCGGTTTCTACCGGCACTATCTAACTCTCCTCAAGGACTCCAGTGGAGTGGGCTCTCCTTGGCCAGTGGAGGCTGCATGTTCCTGCTCAGGATGAGGCCTGGCGAGGAGTGGTTTGGTGTGGAATAGGTTATTTGAATAGGATCTGCATAGCCATAATCTTCTTTCCTGTAGGCAGTGGCACTAGATAACAACTCAGAGCAAGCAATCTCTAACGGGCTTCTCTAACTCCCCCTCTCCAAGCAAGAGCTTCACTTTGGCTGCCCATGACTGACTGTAGTACATTTCAGCTGGGTGGCTGGGTCTCACCTTGCACCTTAAACCAGATTTCAGAGTGCATGGAGCACCTCCGAGCAGCTGGTTGGGAACAGAGCTGGGAAATCTTTGCTCAGACCCCAGCCTCCCTGTAGGTCTTTTCACCAGGGAAAGGGGGCTGAATTTCCACTGCTGTGCCTTGCTGGCAAAGTGAAGAGAAGAGTGAAGGGACCCTGCTCTACAAATGTTTTGACACCTCTGCTGCAAAGTAGGAGAGGCATCACTGCTCCCTTGTGCAAAATCCACTGCTCCAAGAAGTGGGACCTGCCTTGTGTGTCCTTGAACAGCTACAGTGGGGAGTCTGTCACTGGTCCTCTCATCACTGGCCAGGCTTTGATGTGTTGCAGGGCTTTTGACTCATGAGTGGTGCTGGCAGGATGATCTTTTCTCCTGGTGTGTGTTGTAATATGTCCAACACCTGCTCCTGGCATGCCACTGCAGGGTGAGAGAAAGAGATGTACTCGGGGGGAAAAATCTACTGGTACAATCTGCTTTCCTCTTTTCCTCTGTCCTCCCCTTTGCCTGTGAGGACGTGCTTGTTTCTAGGACCTGTTTCTCATTGCGTTCTGCAACGATCCCAGAAGACAATGGCTGGGGAAGCAACTGGCAAGAGCTTGAGCTGGAGCACCATTCCCCAGCTGGTAGCACTGCCTGCTTCTGAACCCACTGCATGTTCAGAGACTGCCTCTCCTCTGCTAGCCTGGGATATCTGTACATTCATCCTGCTTTCCTGTCCTCTCGGGTGGAGCCAGGTGTAGCACTCAGTCCTGGTGCGGTTCACTGGATGGGCTGGTTGGTGGTGACACTCCAGGCACTTGGCCAGTTGGTGCTGAGGGGCTTGTTGGTGCTGGTGTTGAGATCTTCTGTCCCTGGCACTATCTGCAGCCTCATGGCAAGGGGAGGAACATGCTTAGCTTTTGCTTTGGTGAAACATTCAACCCAAAACAAACGGCCTGAACTTCACCTCTGCTGATGATTTCCCCAAATGAGTTGTGTAGGCTTTTAGCTTTCCAGTGCTGCTCTCCTATCCTGTGTAGCTTGACTCGGAGGATGGTAGTATCTCTCCTCAAGGAAGGTTGGTAACATACAGTGCCTTATGCTGTCTCAGCTCCTGCCCTGGCTGGAGCATTCCCCTGGATGCATCCCCCCTCCATCTCTGGGGCAGAGCAGGGGTGCATTAACCCTGCCTCTCCTGCTGCTGGCCAGCGTGGGTAATACATGACTGTGGGACTTTGCAGCAGTTTCAGGTGGTCTTTCTTTTCCTCCATCTGTCTGCATACTCCCAAGGCCCAGTTGATGCTTTGTTCCAGGATACGAGCTCCTCTTCAAACCCAGCCGTGGCAGGAGCCAGGGACCAGGACCCTGCCCCAGTGAGAGACCAGCTGAAGGTGCTGAGCACCAGTCCTGGCTTCCAGGTTGTGGGCAAGCATGCTTCCTCACGCTCTGAGGATGAGAGCAAGGGTACTGCTGTTGCCAGGAGGAGAGGTTTCTCCAGTTTTTGCTGTACACACCTGGTGCACAGGGCTTGTGGCACAGCCATGTGCCTTGCAGATCACAGCTTGGGGAGCACCAAGCCTAGCTTTTGCATGCGGGGGCTCATGTCTTCACCTGCCAAAGGCTCAGACAAACGGTGTCCTCCTGGTGAAGAGCAGTCTTTGAAGGACACTGGTGGGCAGAGGACCAGGAAGGATGTCTGCATGTCATGCTGGAAGGCAGCTCAGCCAGCAGGCAGGGCAGAGCTGAAACCCATGGCTGATGGCAGGAGAGGAGTGGGCAGGCACAGCATTAGCCCCATTAGATGCTGCAGTGCCCTCCCCAAGGAAAGGGTACCAGGGCAAAGAGAGGATAGCAGAGTATTTCGTAGCTGTGGTGTTTGAAATGTCTCTTGGAAGTAGTTTGACTTGCAAGGTCCCATTTCTCCTGTGGGAAAGGCTTTGAGGAGCCAGTGGAGTTGCAAATCTTTGACCCTCCACCTCCTCGGTGTTGTTGGCTTGCAGCAGCCACTTTGGTTGAATTTTGAGACAAAGGCAGGCTTTTGAGAACAGAAACACTCCTGGAGGAGATGTAGACTTGTCTCCATGTGGTACTCACTGGAGTTTGGCACTACCCAGTGCTGGCATCAATCCTTGGGCATCAGACTAGTTGGACAGGGTAGGTTCTGCCAGCCTGGAGATGACAAGAAGCAAGGGCACGAGGGGAACCAGTAGAAGCAATAACCAGGCAGCTCACAGCTCTCCTGCAGTGATCAGAGCAAGATCCCCATGCAGGGAGCAGGAAAGCCTTCCAGGCCACTGGAAGGGCTACTTGCCTTTGGATCTGAGCCTTGCTGGGCCTCCCTGCAGCCGTCCAGGTGGATGCATGGCTTTGCCATTAGTGTCTGTCACTCTGGCTAAATGTCATCCTGCTCTGGTTGGGTATGCATCAGCCATCTCCTACCCGTGTGGTCTGAGCGACACCTGGGGATGCTCCTGCAGTTTGAAGTCCTGCAGCAATGTGTGCATGATGCTCAGTGCCTTCTACAAAGGCCTCCTCCATCCCTCTGCTTCCCCAGACACCGCTTCAGAAGCCTGAGTAGGTGTGCAAGAGGAGGGAATCACCATGGCTTTAACATCCCAGTCTCTCTGAGCTGGGAGCTGCAGAGCAGGAACATGAGTGCAACCAGGAATGTGGGTTTGAACTAGTTTTTCTCTCCATTCAAAAGGCCTGTGTGCTCATGTGACTGAAGGGGTCTGCCACTGGATCCACACCTTTAAGTAAACACGACACATATGTTGAAGTTTACATGCACAGTGTTAAGTTCTTTTGATAAAGCAGAATAAAACTATTTTGTTACCATTTCCCTGGTGCCTTTATGTGTCCTAGGGCTGGTGTCACTGTAGGCACCTGGAGGGCGGACATATTCCTCTCACCCTGCAGTAACACTGCATCTACTTGCATGTCCCCAGCTGCAGTGACTGTCACCCTAGGAGCCCCATGAGCAGCCTGGGCTCAAAGAAAACTGCAGGATGGTGCTGAGCAGCAGGGGCAGCACTTACAGCCCTGCTGTGTTTCTACTCTCATCCTCTGAAGCTTGTGGTGGGAGCTGAGCCCTCCTGGCCCTTGGGCCCCCACCTGAGCTGCCCTGTTGCTTGTATGTGGCCAGCGCGGGAGCATTTCCCAAGCAGGCATAGCCACTGTGCACGAGTGGTGTCCTTGGGGACCGCATGGTGGTCACTGAGCACCAATGTGGCCTGCAAGTATGAATGCTTGTCTTGGACCAGGATGATGGGAGCTGAGCTGGTGGTGGGAGTCACAGTGGCCAGTCTTTGGTCACAGAGCGAGCCCGGGGCCTGTTTTGGCAGCTGGGGCTGGAGGCCTGCAGTGCTGTGTGCCAGGGCATCACAGGGACTCTCTGGAGCATCCTGCAGCCCCTGTGACAGCCTCACTCTGTGTGGCTGGCAGGAGGCACTGCCATTTGGCCCCCATGGCTCTGGCACAGGATTTAGGAGCTCAGCTCAAACCTTTCTCTCCCCTGGCTCCACCCATACCAGATCCACCCTGAGCCCCGGGCAGCTCCCTGCCTGCTGCTACCCTCCTGCCGTGCTGCCTGTGCTGCCCCCTTCTGCCGAGAGACACCTTGTGACACCACTACCCTCAGTCTTTATTGGTATAAAAGCCTTCAACCTAAATTATATCAAAAATGGGGAGGCCTGGTTTCACAACAAATGGCTCAAAATGGTCACATAAGGGTCATAAGTTAATGTCTGCAGTAAAAAGGCTCCCAGGAAATTCCCTTTCAGGAGAACAGTAACTCAAGTGATAACTTCAGAGATAAAAGCCCAGCGGGGAGGCCAAGCCTGGCTTGGACCTGCCAAAGCCCCTGGTGAGACCCTGTGACTGTCCCCAGCCGGGGCAGTGGCCCCAGGGCATGGTCCCACGGTGCAGCGCTCCTCCTGCCCTGGCGAGCCTGGTGGGTGATGCCAGGAGTTCCTCGCCGTGGCCCCATCAGGGAAGGGGTAGGAGGAGCAAGACACATTCAGGACGTCGGGAGAGAAGGCAGCAGCTCCCAGGGCACAGGAGAGCCTGGACCAACTCAGGGCTGGCCTCAGAACTAGAGCTGGCATTGTCCCTGCTGCTGGTCCCCTCACGAAGCGCAGCTGGCGGCTCTCCCTGGGCAAGCCATGAGGCTATGGTCTGTTAAGGCACAACTCAAATATCTGTAAACACTGGTGCCCTCTCAGGGGAGGGTCTAACGAGCAATTCAAGTAAGGGTGGAAGAAAGATGGCTGCTCCCCAGCCATGCCACCCAAGCACCAGAGCCAGCAACTGCTCAGCCATGGTGGCAGATGGAATATCCTTGGTCACCTTCCGGCCAGGGGCGGCTTCAGGGCCACCTTCAGGGGGACAGCCCGCTGAATGACCAAGGGGGGTGTTGGTGGGGGATGAGGGAGAGCTGGTCCTGGTGGCCCCTCGTCATGGCATGGCGCCTTGCTTTTCAGTGCTGGGAGAGGCTTGCTGGGTGGCTTCGGCTTTGCCTGGTGGGAGGAGAGGAGAAACCCAAGTCCCTCACCTGGAAGCCAAGGAGGGACCTGGAGGGAGACGGGGCAGAGGAAGGCCCCCCCAAGTCATCAACCGCCTGGGCCAGGTGCCATGGCTGTGCCCCACACATCTGGGGCTGGTCAGGCCAGGGTAGGCTGGGGGGGATGTGTGAGAGTGGCTCCTGGCCACCGGAAGGACAGGACACCCCGCCACGAGGCAGCAGTGGCTTTCGGAGGGGTGGTTATCTGCAGGGGCCATCCTAAAAAGGCTGGAGATGTCACCTGGGGAACTGGCATCGGTGGCTGCAGGGTCAGCAAAATACAGGGCAAGAGGCTGCCCTCCCACCCACGCTGCAACAGCTGCCCTGTGCTGGGGCTCTGTTCAGCTCCCTTACCTGTGGGACCAGGTGGCAGGGCCCGAGCGGCCGGGCGTCCCGTGGGGCCGCTGTGCTGCTGAGCAGGTTGGGGTGGCCGATGTCGTGGCTGGACAGCTGGCGGCGGGGGCGTTGCATCCGGCTGCCCTCCTGGAAGAGTGGGTTGGCGAGGCTGGCAGCGGGCCCACTGGAGGTCCTCCTGTAGGGCACAGGAACAATACGGGAGCTGCTCCAGGCGCCCCCAAAGCTCAGCCTGTGTGGACATGGCTCAGCCCCGCTGTGGAGCAGGGGAGGGGGGGAATTACCCTTTCTGGAAGTGCCTCATCCCCCTGCCTCTGAGGAGCACAACGCCAATGCCAAGCAGGATGCTGGAGAGCGCCAGCACGGCCACCACAGCCGCTAAGACCATGCTGCTGCTCCCTGTGGAGACCCAGTCGGTGTCAGGATGGGCACCCCCATGCCGGGGACGCCCCGTGGGGATGGAACAGCTCCCACCAGCATGATGGCAGGCCACTGACCCCCTCCTGAGGCTTCCTCCCTGGCACACACATTGGGCCGAGGGAGCTGGTGCCGGTCATGCACAGGGGATGCCGTACCTGCCCCCATCCCTGAAATCTTCTGCTCACAGTAGGGCGCTGCCCAGCCCGGCTCGCAGTGACACTCACGTTTGTGGTTGCACACCTGAGATGAGGGAGGAAAGTGTCAGGGTGATGGACATGGTGTAGGGGCCGGGACCACTGCCTGGTCCCCGCAGCTGCTCTGGGAGAGGACGATCCAGCAGCATACCCCGTGGTTGTTGCACTTGGCTGAGCAGTTCTTGTTGCCGTAGACCAGTAGGTTCTGGCAGCGCCCAGCGTAGCAGACCTGGGGGCAGGCAGGGGGCTCTGAGGCTGCCCTGGGTCCCCGCGGCTGACAGTCACACCCCCCGCCACCCCAGCACGGCCACCAGTGCGCTCACCATCTCCTCTCCACACTTGGCGCCAGTGGGCACCAGCCTGAGCTTGGCCACCACCTCGTTGGCATCGTTGCTGGCGATGACTGCCTTGCACTTGAAGCGGCCAAAGAAGAGGGAGTAGGAGCCACCACCAAGGACGGGGCTGGCATTGTCACTCAGGCACAGCAGCGTGCCGCACTTCACATCCCTGCAGGAGAAGCAGCCATGAGCACCAGTGGTGGGGGCGGCACAGAGCTGGGGAGCTTTGCTTGGCCCTGCAGTGCTGTTGACAGACATGGACACCACTCCACCATCCCCCTGTCTCCAGTTCCTTACTTGGGGCTGCAGGGCCGCTTTCCATACTCAGTGAGGCAGTGGAGGTGAAGGTGTTGCTCGCTGTTGTGCTTAAAGCAGACATCAGGAGCCACCTGGGCCTCTGCAGGACACACGGAGAGGGTCACATGGAGCCAAAGCCTGCAGCAAGCCACCGGTGCTGGCACCAGTGCCTATACTTCAGGGTCATCAGCCATGGCACCCCAGCTAGGGATGCAGGAGGGGACCACAGCCGAGCAATGCCCCAACCTGCAGAGCTGGGCGTCCAGGCACATCACCCAGAACATGAGGCAAGGAGGGTGGACAGGGTGGGGGAGCAACTACCTGCGCCCCAGAGCGTGCGGCACTGCTCACTGTGCGAGGGGCAGGCCCCGTTGTAGCAGTAGCCATTGCCGTTCTGGCAGGAGATGCCATTCTCCTGGAAGACATCCTCTGGGCACTCGGCACTGAGGCCAGTGCAGTGCTCAGGCAGGTCGCAGTCGTTCTTGCTGGCCCGGCAGAGCACACCGGCAGCCTTCACCTGCACAGAAAAGGGGATGTTGGCACTACCTTGATGCTTTCGCATCCCTAGATCCATGCAGGCACCACAACCTAGCAGCACCCTTGTCTTCAAAACACCTCCTGGCACCCCACAGATCCAGACACAGCAGCTTGTGCGACTCTATCATAGATATTTGCTGTTGACTGAGCTACTGCACAGGACAGAGACACCATCAGGCCTTGGACTGGGTCTTCTCATAGTTAAGTCTCTCCCTGCGGACAACACCTTGTGCTTTGCTTTCAGTCTGGACTTGTCCTGGCGCCCTCCTCCAGCCCTGCCTCTTCACATCAAGGCACTTCTTATGCCTGTGTGCAGGAACCAATTCATATAACTCTTAACTTTCTCTTGGACGAATGGAGCAGAAGAGGCAGGTTGGTTTCCCGAATCAGGAATGGGCCACACTGATCTCTGCTGAACATTGCCCAGTTCTTCAACACCTTTCATCCTGCACCTGACCTAAGAGAGACAGGGGACCTGGGCTCCAGGATGCCAGAAACAGAGGCTGCTTCACCTTCCCAACTGCTTCCCACCGGCGATGCTGACTGTCCATGTAGTGAGACCATCGACTGGAAAGTGTGATTTCCACCACCACCTCCAAACCATTGGGTGTGTTTGGCTCTGGGCAGGCTACTACAGAGGTCCTTCAGGCTCTCCAGCGAGCTATGGACACACCTTGCGTCTACCAGGAAGCTCCGGAGGAGGCTGGGGCAGGACTACGCACCTGCCCACTGCCTTCCCTGCCAAGCTGGTCCCCCTGGCCGTGGCAGTACCTTGCAGTCCTGGCAGCAGTCCCCCCGGGCACACTCAGCTCCCTCTCTCAGCCGGCAAGTGGTGGCGTTGCAGCAGCGGTCGGAGCACTCCTGCAAGACAGGGCGGGACCAAAAGCCCCCTGAAAGACCCTTTTCTTCCTTTCTGGGGGGACGCAGTTGCCATGTCACCAGGTTCCAATGGCAGCTTAGCTGCCACAGGCTGAACTATGGGGCAAAACCACATCATCCCAGCTGTGAACCATTTCTGCCACCTCTCTACCCCCATTACCAACATCAAACCAAAGGACCAGAAGGGAATTTTCAGAGGATGGGGCCTGACCTGGGCCCCTGCTCTCTGGTAGCACCCTTTGCACATCTCCAGGAAGGAGAAAACAAGAGCTTTCTGTGCTCTCTGCATCGGGGGAGCATCCCTTCAGGTCCCAGAGCAGGGCTGTGACCCAGGGATTTATCCCAGAGACATCGCCTGGACATTTATCTCAAATCTCACCCCTGTGATGCAGTGGTGGGCAGCTAGGGACAAGGAAAAGCTGAGCATTGCTCTTGAAAGGACAACATGCCATGATGTCCCCCTCCTTGGATCACCTCTTTGGAGGATATGCTGGGGGATGGCCATCTTTCCTAGGCATGCTCCTGCTAAAATCACAGCCAGATACATGAAGGGGGGCGGGAGGGCGGGCTCACATCCAAGTTATTTTTCAGCAGAAGCACCAGGAACATAAGGAAGATGAGTCTTGCAAAGCACGATGCCCAGGGAAGAAGCTTATACAACCTTTTCTGAGTCTGAATGACAGGTCTCAGGTCCCTGACGCCCACCCTCCTTCCTGGGCTGTTAGAGAGTATCCCTACCTCTGGTGTACCACAGTCGCACTGCTCTCCCCGCTCCACAAACTGGTTCCCGCACACCGGCCCCCCATACAGCTCATCCGCCCTGGGGACGTTTAGCAGGCAACTGGTCCTGGGGTCCCCGAGGAACTGCCACATGTCCTGCTCACTGCAGCGGCTGAAGAGCTTGGGGTACACCAAGCTGAAGGGGGACAAAAACAGGCAGTCATGAGCAGAGATGAGAGCCCGAGGGCCCTCACACCCACTACCCCAGGAGGAAACTGGAGGGCCACCAACAGACCTTTGAAGTGCAGCTTCAAGTGAAGTGTCCGCCCAGACCTGACCATCTCACAGACTTCACCCCATCAGGACAGTGCCAAAGGACACCTCAAGATATTTGCTGCCCAGGGATATTCCCTTTTCTCCTTCACTCACCCAACACTCGCTGCCATGACACATCCGCCATCAGCTTTGGGGACAGGACAGCGGCAGCCAGCAATGTCTTCATCATGAGACATCCCCAAGTTATGCCCCATCTCATGAGCCATGGTGGATGCAGCACCGATAGGATTCATGCTGTGGTCCTGTGGGACAAGAAGTGCAGCGTGGTTCAGATGATCTCCACAGCATCTCAATGGGGCCCACTGGGGCTCTTCAGCCACTCAGTGCCAGGTCTTGCCGCCAGCTGCAATTTGTTCCCTAATGCTGCCATGCCGAGATAAAGGAAGACAAAAGCTGGACTTGGTCCCATGGCCCCTAAAGACCTCTGGACTGGGATCTCAGGGGTGTAAGTCAGCTTAGATATAGTGGCTACCCTGAAACAGTGCTTTGTGGTGGTTCTGGACAGCCAGAGGTCCCATGGCTCCTGCCCAAGCAAAGGATGCCCTCCCTGGGGAGGGATGAGAAGCACAGCCAGGGTGGTTGGAGAGCAATTGCAAACCAAGTCCCAGCCACCTCACAGGTAGTGGGAGAAGCCCTGTGTCCACAGAGCTGCTCTGGGAGGCTTTTCAGGGCTCAAGTATATCAGAGCCCTCCACAGGAACCCAGCTGGGTTTCCACAGCTACCCTTCCCCTGCAGCCCCAACACTTCCCTGGGGGTCAGTTGCTCAAGGGTCGGAGACACCACAAACCAGATCTAGCCCTAAGGGTGTGGAGGGCAAAAGCTGGAGACCAGTGGAGGTGAGACCCACTCTGGAAAATACAGTGCAGGGAGTGCAGACTGTGGGACCACTGCTGCCCAAGCAGCAGGACCCACCTGGTTGACACCAGCCGAGTCCCTGGTGCACATCACAAGCTTCTTGGCGAGCCCTACGGTCGTGCCATGGAAGTCTATACCCCTGTGGGATTGAGATGCCACCGTGACCATATGGCCTGGGTGGCAGCAGGGCTGCAAGGATGGTGAGGTGGTGGCCCCCATTCTTACGTGATCAGCTGGGCATTGTCATGCGGCTTCCTCCGCAGCAGCTCTGCCTCCCGCCAGTGGAGGAAGTTGTCCAGCGTCACCTCTGGGTTGGGACTGACCACGATTTTGTCCTTGTGGCTCCACACCTCCAAGCCGATCAAGGCCACCCGCAGGTGAAGAGGCTGATAAAGCTGGGGCAGGAGACAGCCCAGAGTAAGCGCTTGGATTTGAGCTGCACAAGCAGAGGGAAGGTCCCACCTCCCTGGGGAACAGCAACCAAGCCCAAGACCCCACCTCACTGTGCAATATCAGCTCTGTCACCCCTCAATAAATAACACAAGCTGGGGTGACCACGTAGACAGGGTTTACCCCGGGACCTCCGGGCTCCCTCTTGGCCAGTGAAGGCTGGGATGCTGCTCCCACATTGCTGACCCAAGACTGAGGCTGAAGCAAGGCAAGCAGAAACCCTGCCTTGGTGCACTGCATCCATCACTCTCCCCTTGTTAGCACCCACTTCAGCTTGAGAGTGGACATGAAAGTGCTAGGAGGCAGCTATCCCATGCTCCTGAGGGCCCAGGGCTGAGTTGCTTGTCAGGTCCACCCCATTGGCCACGGGAGCTGGTCATCCTGCAGCAGCCCACCTACGGGCTTGAGATCCACTCCAGCGCCATCACCCTACCCATGCCAATCTCTCCTCCGCTGTGTTCATGCCCATGCTGGCACTGCAGGGCATGTGTGGGAGCAGGGAGGGCAGATCCAGACCCCTGGGCTCACCTTGTCAACGTGGTTCACGATTTCCTTCATGCGGTTCTGCACTGTGCGCAAGTCTTTGTGTTTCCTGAACTACAGGAAGGACACAGAGAGATTTCCAGGCTGGCTTCGACGTCCTCACTGCAGTATGACAGCGAAAATGTAGGCACCAGCTTGGTCCCCCCTGCACTTACCTCCTCGTTGTCCACGACCAAGACCAGCTCCACATATCGGGGATCTTTGTGTAACGGAGCTGATTTCTGGAAGGGAAGAGGAAAGTGAGTGCAAAGAGGGGCTCAGCTCTGCAGCTTGCCGAGCCCTGCGGTTGACCCTCCTGTGGGATATGTTGGATCCTGGGGTATCTTCCAATGTTATTCAAGGCTAGTAGGTCTTCTAGCTCTGCTTTCTGATGTTACTTTGCTGGGTGTTTCAGACATCTTCGAACACACAACGAAAAACTCAAGCCTGCTACCGGGATAAGGCATGAGAGAGGCTCTGCAGGCATCACGGAGCTCATGGGGTAGGAGAATGCTCCTGAGGACTTGTTCCCACCAGGAGCTAGGCCACTAGGAGCAACCTGTGTTTGGGTACCCAACCAAAAACGCGCAGGAGAGGAGTATCACCAAGAGATGCGGTATGGCCCCACTCCTCTCCTGGACGTCACAGGACCTCTTGCAAACTCAGCTACAGGAAGAAGAAGCAAAGCAATCCTTAACCCAGCGGTAGAGCTTCATGGCTGCAGGAATTTTCGGTTCGTGGTCATATTCCAGGGTGGCAGCAGACTCTCGGCACGTGCCATGTTTCCCTTGCAGGTGAGCTGCTCTGTACACTGCATGCCGGCCAGCCGCATCCTCCTCCAGAGGCTCCAGCAGGAAGGTGGTGTCATTCACTCGGTAAAACCCTCTGCCAAGAGACAGGGTGGTCGTCAGGTTGGGGAGATATCCGGCAGGACGCGGACAGACCCTACACGCACCCACACAAGTGCCTGTGCTACAAAATACAGCTGCCAAATCCCAGCTAGGAAACCACCCTACCCCCTCATGGTTCCCATAAGCAGCTTGGATGAGCTACAGGACACTAGTGGGATGTGACAGTCAGGTCCTTCTGGCCACGTGCATGAAACCACACTCAATATAAAGCCCCAAGCAGCCCTTGGGCAGTGCGTGAAGCCCCACATCACTGCGCAGAGGTATGGGGTGGAAGAGCTCACAGCAATGCAAGGGACTGGATGCGCCTTCCCTGCAACCTCAACTGGCCCAAGAGCACATCAAAGAGGTGCTGCAGGACCGAGCTGACCTGGGGCATGCCAGGAGAGGGGGACCAATAGGAAACGTCCATAGCATTTTCTTTCAGAGGCTGCAAAAGCACCAGTTGAACAAAAGGACTGTTAGGGAGGCTGGAAACTGGCTGCTGGGCTGGGAGGGAGCAAACTGTGGCATGGTATCCGTGGCTGGTAGCAAGGGGAGTATCCTGTACTTTGAGCAGCAGAAATGTCCCAGGGTTCAACCAGGAGAACTGCCCAGCGCTGCCAGGCCAGGTTTAGCACAGCATTTCTGCTGAGCAGCTCTGGCCTTCAAGATGCTTTCTGTAAGGTGTGCCATGTGCCCTGTCTGTATTGTTCTTGTCTCCTGTTCTGCCATTGCACATCTTGTCCTCCTACTATACAAGGATATTGTGTCCAATGTATGCACAATCTGTGCAAAAGGTCTCCACAGACACAACCCCTGCTCTCAAAGTGAGGGTATGGCTACCACACAACTCCAGTGGGTGTTTCTCCTGCAAATAGGTGTTTGCAGGTCCCTCAGTGCTCCAAGGACCAGCCATCCCCCTCACACATCCCCCTGCAAAGGACGCCTCCCTTTCTGTCTTACTCTTTTGCAATGTCTGACTGCTAGCTGATCTTAAAAGAAAGAGAACAGCAGAGTACGAATCTTCCATGGCAAACTGAGCAACCTTGCATGGAGCTGGTGGCTTGGGTTACTCTGCAAGGATGCTTTCTGCCATTAAATGCAGGTAGACCCAAGGCAGCTTTTGAGGAATGACCACCAGCACAGCCAGCAGCTGGTGGGTAGAGGGAGACACAGCTGGCCTGATGCACCATATGCTTTCTTTTCCTTTTGGAAAGGCACTCAGCCATCAGCTCTAGGAGCTTGGCACGGCCCAGAGGAGATGCTGGCTGGCCGCAAGCCAGGGCA